ACAGCTGGGCCTGTCTGCCAGTTGATAGCAGAGGCGTTGTGGAAAATCTGGCTGTCGGCTGGGCATTGTGCTCAAAATGTATTCATCAAAAAGTAAAATTTTCGACCTGAAATAATAAAGTTTACCTAAAACTGGGTGTTTGTAAAAAGCAAGATTGATTGCGGGAAGAGGGCGCTAACTCAAATGGACACATTGAACTTAAAAAGTATTAGCACATATGAGTATTAACTTTTTACATTTAATTAATCTAAATTACTTAAATATAGTAACTTCAGTTTGAGTTACATAAACATATTTTACATAAATCAAATGTCATCAAAACTTGGAAATTGTATTCCTGGTGAGAGGTTGAGCAAATAATTGAGTTACAACGAACCGTTGTCTTTGAAGAATTTATTTAACAAAAGAGAATAAACAGAGAAGTACTACAACAAAATCAGCTGGACCAGAGGTTCTGTCTCCTAAGACAGTCACTAATGTCTGGCCCAGAGCAAAGGGCTGCATGATCATTTACACAGTCTGAGCATCTATGTTTTGGGGAACAAAAGATCCTTGACTGGTCCCAGTCAAGGAAGGAGAAGAACAGCTAGTGAGGAAAACAATCAACAACCCCACATCCCTGACCTAAAACCCACACATGTGGACAGACTGGAATAAGAAGACAATAATAAAGATGGAGCAGGTAAAAACAATATATAAGACATAATAAAAGGAGAAAAATAGCACTCTTATAAGTACTTGCATAAAAGATGATAAGTGTAAGAAGACAACTATTTTCTGCCCTTACAAAACTCAACTTCAAATCAAGTAAAACTATAGTGAAAACTGCATAGTACTCCCAAACAAGACTGAGACAGAAGGTTTATAGGATCCCCAATTACGTTAAAATGGAAAATCCTTTCATACAATTATTTATAATATTTCAGCTTTCAGATCCAAAGTTCAACTTTTCTTTTATAATTTTGTCTTTGAAATTGACAGAACATTTTACCTCTATTGGGCTCCATCCTCCCCATAAAAGCAGACATTATGGTTTAATTCATGCATGACGTCCACTGCAGTGGACAGATACTGTATTTATTTTGAACCATTTAAATTGCCATATCCCAACCATCACGTGGCGGACCCCCAAAGTGTTGTCTACAATTCCATTTGATTATAATCTTTTACTTCTCTGTCATTTTGATATTCTGCATCATAAATTCAGAAAAAGGGAGGGAAGTGGATATGCACCAAGTACTTTAGAAATAACTGTAAAATTCTTTTATTCTCATTTTACCTATGTAGATTCAGCCTTATTTTGTGTGTTTTATGTATGTATGATGATATAATTTGCACTTGAAAAACTTTTTTAGTAAATGTTTTAAAAACATATAGTTAAATATATTTGGAAAAAAGTTTATAGGCATAGTTTTTCACTTGTTCAAAAGTAAAAACAAAATTAAAAATAGTTATTACATTGGGATTTAATAATTCGTGCATGAAAGGAATATATCAAGTGGTCATCAGCTTCTGTATAAATCTGTCTTCATAAAAGCAGTCAGTGTTGACTGGATTTGAAAGCTTTTCTTTAGTGTGTTGGGTAACCGGTGAGCAGTGATTTGCGTTAAACATGGGTTTGAGCTGTGAGGGAGAGTCGAGCTCTCTGCCGGGAGGAATCAATCCTGTCTGGAGCTTCATCTCCTGCTGATTCATCCACCTCCAGCAGCTCTGCTCTGATCACATCCATCCTCATTGATCAGCAGTAAATCGTTGTTTATCAGTGGGAGTGTTACACATTTATGAGAGTGCCCTCATTTGGCTTTTTAGAAATGTTCACAAGATTTTATAAAAGTTTTGAAACTTAAAAAAAAAAAGCTGCTAATGTTTTTGACAAATATTTGAATCAAATACGTGAACTGAATGATGTCCACTCAACAGATCTAACCGGGCATTTGATTTGTTTTAATGTACGCTGTGATATTAAGATATTTGAACAATGTATTTGTTTTTAGAGTACCAATAATAGGCATTTAACAATAAATGCAGCAGTTTTCTTTAAATGTCCCTTTGCTACCTTCTTGGAAACAGTGTAGGCTATCTTAGTGTGGTTACCTCAAATCAAACAACAGGAACAGCAGGATTTAAACAGGAAACACGTCAAATTAAACATACTGTGATTTTGTTAACAGTGAGCCTGGAGGACATTCTTAAATTTAGGGGCGGTATTAAGAGCAAGAAACACTCATTGAACAAATATCTACAACAAGGCTGCTTGTCATAACAATGCTTAGGAGGTTTTAATCTTCTTCTTAATCTAAATCTATCCAGGCAGTCCTGGGATAAATGTGCATCAATATACTTTTTTTCCTCTCAAGTAAGTCCAGTAATTAATGAGAGAAAAGCACAAGTATTCAATAATGCTTTATCCCACAATGTTTAGTTAATATACTCTAAGAAGAACTATGTTCCTTCATTTCCATGAACATGGAACATGAACATTAATCTGCAGCTGAAAATAGTCCCCATCAAAACTATTTACTCTTGTTTTTATAATGTTTGAAAACTACAGTGCTTTTTACGAAATTATTCAGCATTTTTTAAGAAATGTAACTAAATATAATAAGTTTTTAAAGATTTTCATCTTCAGGTGGTTCCAATAGGTTTGGGGATATGTTGACAATAGCAAAATAAGAACTGAGCTTTAGAGAACAACACTGTCACCTTACATTATTAACATTTATTATATTTTGTATTTTTTTCTTTGGACAAACTGAAAAAAGAAACACATTAATCTACCTCAGATCTTTAATACACACTGCTCTGAGTGCCCTGAATCCTGTTTGTTATTGTCGGTTCACATCATCCTTCCTGTCATCCCTCGCCCTCCCTTTGTCGTTGTTTGAACATGTTCTGTAGGCGGTGTTGCAGATCACAGTCAGATGGTCTGGAGCTCCTCAAACAGAATGAAAAGCTGCGTCCTCACTGTCCTGGCTTCTGAAAACATTTTCTCCCTCTTTGGGGGAAAAATCCGGTGGGAGAACAGCGATGACACACGTCCGGTCTCGCCTTCTTCCGTGAGGCCCTGTTATCATTGCTCTGCCCCCTTTCCTCTTCTAGGTTCTCCATGGCAACAGGGCAATGACAAGAGGAGCCAAAAGATCAACAGGTGGAGAATACATAACACAGAGCGGAAAATGCCAGAGCCGCTTCCTTTGCGCCTGGTTGCAGACTTTTCTTTTAATTCAGAAAGGGAACAGAACAAATCACTTGGCCCACATTAAGCACTCAAGGGTTATTGCTCCTTTGTACGATCCAGGTTTATACAGAATTATATCTGTGCACAATAGCCATCCTGCTGTTACCCGACTTCTTGAGAGGCAGGTAAAATGAATGGTGATAATTTACGTCAATCTTTTTTGGTGACAATGGGAACAGGATGTTCCATTTCCAGTGTTTCAGTGACAAATTCCCTGTGGCAGCAAGACCAGCTCCAGACCCATTTTTAGCCTGACATGAAGCACAGAATGATTCTGGTTATTTGAACATTTGCTACACACCTATTTAAAACAATAAAATGTGACCTGAAAAAGCAACAAAAGCCGCAAGACACTTCATGTCTTTGATTTAGTTCCAGAAACTGTTTTGCTTTCATGCCAGCGCCCGTTTAATCATGTCAGCAGTAAGTGTCACCTTTTTTTTCATACAGTGGATATCTAGTTTTGCAAGGAACCTTCTGTGTATGTAGGTCAGAGCGAACAGCGAGCTCGTAGATCACCACACGGAATGACATCCATCTCTACCAGCTGTGGCCTGAGAATGGGAGACTTTCGTATTGCATTAGAGTGTTTGTCTCCTGCAGAAAGAAATTTATTCACACCATAATTCATCCTTTCCACACTCAACCTACACAGTATCTATATCTAATCTTGTTACAATAAATTTACTATATAATAACTAATGTTCCTGCTCCTCAATAAGTCGGCTCACAGTGGGCAGCAACTTTTTATTCAGAAGGTAATGATGAAACAACATGTCATACAGAGAGACAGCTTAAAAGCTAGGAGGAGGGCATCCATCCAAATCATTAAGTCTTCTGTGTTGCACAGCAGAGTCTGCATCTGATTTAATGGTTCAGAGAAGGCAGCAGAGAGAAAATACAGAAAAAACACATGCTGACCCAGTGGTGTTGTTGCTATAAAGATAGCGTACCTGTGATTGGCAGAGAGAGTACGGGGTTTTGTTTGTCCTGTGTAGGTGGGAATATAAGCAAGAGGCTTGTTTAGAGCTAACAGCACAGTTAACTCTTTTTGTTTTGGCGTTGGCTTTGGCCCATTAGCCTATCTGCTGTTCACTAATTAACTGTCAGCGAAGCCAAGTGACGCTCTTGTTGTCCTTTTCCTGACGGACGCTATAGTACTTTGCTGTTCTTTACTAACAGGAAATAATGCACTATGTGCAGCCACAGATAGCAGTCATACTGCATACTTTGCTTTGATATTTTGCAGCTGTGAGCAGCTCCTATGTTTTCTTTCTGCATTGTTTTGTAAGCACTCTGCATTTCCTGCAATTTTTTTTTCTGCAATCTGCATTTTTAGTATGCATAGGGGCTTTTAACTGATTTGATACATGTAAGTCACTTTACTTGGCATGAGGTGTACTACTCAGCCGGTGACAACAGCTTAATAATATCTTCTGTAGCTCTGGAGGAGCTTTGTCAAGTCTGAGGAAATTACCCTAATGATATCATCTAGGTTATGTAAACATTTTTAACAGAAAGCCTCTGTTACAAATTGGACTCGAGGGCAAGGATTTTAAAAGAGTCTAATGATTAGCTGCAATCCATTTCAAGTCGGAAATTGATAGCTCTGAGTGGTTATTCCTGACTTCAATCCAAATGCATTTCCAGAGAAAACGAGGACGCAAAAGCATCTCTTAAGGACATATATCAATCACAACAGTGCCATCAGTGAAGAGACACGGCGTATAAAGTAAGTCAACTATCTTGCTAGTCTTTGCTCATTAAAATAACATATAACAGCTCAAAATGTGTGCCGAGTGTGCTCAATAGTGTGAACCACAGCAAGGGTTAACTAGGGACCACAGGAGTGAGGACTCTTCTGTAAAGTTACTGTTTACTGTTTGCACCGCCATATTGCTGTAACGTCAGGTGTGTTTATGTCTGCGAACTCTGGCTAGACGGATCTTACCCGAGTTTCCTCTCCGTTGCACCTTTCTGTGTCGGAGGTCGTTTTGTTTTTAGAAACCACAGTGCAATTTTATGATTCATTTAGCTCACTCATATGTTTTGAACTAAAGCATATTTAAAAATAATGAAAAGTAGACAGCGAGCAAATAAATCTTTGTGGCATGGCTGTAAGCGACCCACAATTTGTCATTTTTCATATTGCAGCAGTGCTGCTCCGAGCTAAGTTAGAGGAGGAATAGTCTAAATACAAATGAAATATTTCGTGCCTAATATTTCAAGTGATGCAGTCTGTTCTTGTTGTGACAGCTAAAAATACTGTTGTCTCAACACTGACACAGAGCTGATATTAAAGTTGCAGCTAATCAAGAATAACTGTGGTGTTGTGAAGAGTCCTCACCAGAGAAATGATCTATCAAGCAGACAGACTAGCTGTCATTGTAATGTGAAAAAGCTGCATAAGAGAGATGTAGCCCCAAAGAAAAAAAAAAACCCTCTGTCTGTCAGTGCATCTGCTGCAAGAGCTACTTCTAATAAATTCACAAAGAGCTTGAATGCTCCTGATACATTTTAGTCCCCATCTGATAGAATGGGAAGACAGACAATCATGTCCCAGCCCTCCAGAAGAGACGCCCCATGTCCCCTGCAGCCCCGACTCTACTTGGATAGGTATGAATAGAGGCTTGCAGCACATCATCTCTTAAATCAATCTACTCTCACTTAGTATTCTCTTAACTCCTCCTAGTCTTCTTGGTCTCATTTTCTTTCCTCTGCCCCCCTCTATCTCTCTGTCTGTTTTGGAATTTGGCAGTTGAGAGGTAATTGTCTTTTGCGGGATGGTGTTGGACAATCATGGGGGGTTATTTAATGTAATTTGTTTCATGACAGCACAGGGACCCTTGTGGAGCAAAGTAAGTGTCCACCTGCTGTGTGTAGGTGTTTGAGTGACAAATTTTGGGCAAAGAAATGAAACTCCAATAAAATATGTAAAGATGTGTAGGAACAGAAGAGAGACAGTGCATCGATGTAAAATATTTGGAAGGGCAGTCTCACCTCATTAGCATGTCTCCCCCCTCTTTCTTTCCAGTGCTCCCTCATTTGCATCTATTTATGCATCAAGGTGAGACTGAATTTATCAAGGTGCTTGGCCATGTTTGCATAGGCTTCATAGATCCAAATTTTAAGAGAGAAGCTGCTCTTTGAAGCCACTGGGACAGGAAGCGATGAGGAAGTTCGAGCGAGAGAGGGAGGGATGGCGGAAGCTTTGATGTGCAGAAATAGATAACATTAAAGGCTAGCTGCTGACAAAAACACACTTTCTGGCCACAACGCAGGCGTCGTCCTGCATTACTGGATGGTTCAACAACTTGGATGAATATGAAGCAGATGGCTGCAGACTGAAGAGTCTTTATCCCAGAATGATGTGGGATATGATTTTGGAAAATTTAGACATAATAAGGGACAATAATATTCTGTGAGCCAATTATTTATCCTTCTTTTGGAATGAACCCCTGCATGGTTTCATATTTAACAGTTGATGGTGAACAAATACTCGGGCTTTGCATGTTTTCTGTCTCTCTCTCGCTGTCAGAGAGATGACAGCTCGTCAATAAGTGTGCTCATTAGGATGCGTCACATGGCTCAGCCTGATACAGTACATACAGTTACATACAGCTATGTGTATTATACTACATAGCTATTGCCAGAATGTTTAAAAAAATGAGAAAATCTGTTTTGGGGACATAAATTCTTCCTCTAGATGCAGTTAGTGTGCAAGTACCCTTGAGCAAGGCTGTTTAGTGGTATCAGCGGGCAGCTCTCAGGAATGAGTGAATGAGCGTAATCTATCTTTCTCCTGCTACGCTCCCTCAGGCTTTGCTGTGAATAATAATATGTTTTAATGAGGCTGCATGAAGGGCTGCACAAACATTATGTTTGGCTTGTTGGTCATTTTCTCCATCTTTGTATATGTGGTGGATAGCTTTGTCCAGTCTTCATTTAAGGCTGGTTGGTTAGAGAAACAACAAAAAAAGACGGATGTTTAAAGAAACCATAACCAACATTTGTATTTCAGCTCATTGTTTTGATTTCTGGCCCGCAACTTTACTGTTTTGGTTCCTTCTCACTGCTGTCATCAGTGTCTGTTTTCAGTGAACTGTATGCTACCTGCTTAGCACAAACTGGGAGACAGACAGTCAACAAGTAGATGGTGAACATAGTGGAGAGTTTAGCTCCAGATACAGCATATACTTTGTGAGTTGGTAGAGACCAAAAACAGAGCTAAAATAAATCAAGTTCCCAGAAACACAACTCCGAATGAATGCTAACTTTGCTCTATATCTGCTGGATGTGTAAATGGGTTACTTCACCATATCAACTTGAAAAGGTGAAAACTTTATGCAGGTTTAAAGCTGCATTAATGGATTTGTTTTTGGCCACTTGTGGGCAGTGGCCAAGTTTCTAATATGAAATGTGGACACCTTATTAAATTCACACATCCAGCCGACACAGAGCAACATTAGCATTCATTTGGAGTCGTATTGCAGAATTGTGGTCCGGGAAAACCAAACTAATGAGCTATAAGATGACTCTGTGGGTTTGACACTTCGAGTGACCCCTTTCTCACAAGTAGTCATTAAATCTATGGTTAATATTTAAAATTCAGATTTGTCCAACTTTAACGTCTAGATTAATTATCTTGTATCAGTTGTTCAAAGTGTGAGTGAGTGCTTTAGCTCTGTCTGAGACTTGTCAATCATTCCCACAGATACCTGGACAGACAGCTGACACAAATGTGATCAGCTACATGTTGGAACAAGTTGGTGAAGTCTGCAGCCTCTTGGAAACACATGCAAGTTAATATACTGAGTAGAAATCTTCTTTCCTGTCTTACTGAAGAGAGGAAAAGATACAGTATTTACTTAAGGAGATCGATGGAGGAATTGTATTGACAGTGTGGAAGCTGCAGAGCTGGATGCTTTTTTTACAGGAACTGTTGATGTTGCTCCTGCTAGTGCACGGAAGAAACTGGGCCAAAATATTTGAGTGCAAGAATGCAAGAAGCACAAGAACACATCTGGGATGTGGTTTCTCTTTTCATTTTCTTTTTCTGCCTGTTTTGATTTTACAATATAACACATCGTGCTGATAAAACAACAAAAAAAGCATCTTTTCTAATTAATATTCCCATTTCCAGTAAAGTTTCAATTGATCTCATTTGTTACATGTAAAAAGGGTCACTAGAAAAATCTATTTCTGTTCCTTTACTCAAGTTTCTTTTTATTACAATATTTATTTATTAAAAGGTCTTGTTTGCACCTCAGCTCTTATATCACTTGACAGCTGTCAGTCTCTTCTTTGCTGATGATTTGATTCATGTCTGTCTGATTTGCACTAAACAGGCAAAGGCCTTAGGACTTTTACACTGCTGTGTTTCTTAAACTATAAGACACCGTCCCTAAAATGGGTCACTGGTCTGCTTCTGTTGGTTGCCATTTCACAAGAGCATTAATATATTTTAATGAGACTTAGTCCCAAGACAACAACACAATTATTCACTCCCAGGCTCAAAAGATTAAAATGTTATTTTATTTTTATGATATGGAGGGATGAGGCCTTTTTCTTATTAAAATAATGTCTCACTTTCAATGAGATTGTAAAGAAAAGATGAAGTGACAAGAAAAGAAAACGTGCCTTTAGCTTTTAGCTAAGCTAAAGTTTTCCCAACACGAGTAAATCCTACCAGTCTGCTTGCTCCTCCATTCATGACCGTTATAGAAATGGGACAACGTCTCTGGCTGAGTATCTAAAACGGTGTATTTAAGTTGCGTCTGTTTTGACAGCAGACGTGATGAGGCTGGATCATGAGGGGTTTCATGCTAGGTGGTTTTCTGACTGACGGGTGAAATAAATCAAACAACAATAATGTCTGCCTGGGATTCTGACAGGATATTGCTTAAATACTAAACCAGAAGCTCAAAACACTGCATTACCCTGTTTTTGAATATTATTGAGTTAATGTGGTCGATGGCATAAGACAATGGTTGGGCAGGTGAATACATTTTTTTATTGTACAAAGGATTGCCTTTTTGGTAGAAGGCAACAAACCTTACTAGCAGACATCGTGGAAATGAATCTATGAAAATCTGTGTATTTAACTTGTGAGGCATGGAACATGCAGTGGATTTGGAGTTTAAGAGACTGTGCTTGTTTCAAGACATGTAAGGAGGCTCCTGTAGATGGAGAACACACTAAATGTCAAACATCCTCTGAGTTGACATGAAATGTTGCTGTACAGGAACACAAAAATACCCTCCTAACAAATAAACAGTTAATACCAAAATAGTAAAGCATTTATCTCGCTCACATATTTTTCACATACTTCAAAACTAAGCAATGGTGTTATTCACAGGGTTTGAAATTAAAAGCCAGCCACCAGCCAGATCCTAAAATATTCACAGTTGCTGTGATTCATCAAGTCTTTCACTTTTATTCGACACTTACGCAGTTACTCAGCTCGTTTTCCATCGCTTTATTGTATTATGAAAAGAAGCAGAGATTAGACTCGCTTGCAAAAATGTTGATCCTCTTGCTACCATGGCCTTTGAACAAAACCTGCCAAGGATAGAAATGTTCGACAGTCTTGCATCATGATGTGGGAATTACATAAAAAGCCTAAACAGAGCTTGTTCCTTTGACAAGCTTGTAGTCACTTTACAGTATGAGACATTTTGACCGTCTACAAGAGCAAATCTATGTAAAACAGTTCTTCTTCTTTCTCTTACATATGCATAGTGGTACTTTTGTAGTATATAGTAGGTTTGTAGTTTTCACAGAGGACAACAAATGTCCGACTTCCAGAACTGTATTCACCCAAAAGCTCTTGTGTCTTCATCACCTACCATCTGAACAAGTCCTCTCCTTCAGGATTCTTTACTCTTTGGGCTATTTGCTTTATTTTATGCTTCATTCAGTCCACTTCTTCCTGCTCAGCTGCATTTGAATCCCTGAGTCACTCTACTCATAATGCATTGGGGGAAAGTGCAACATTTTCCCAGGATTCACTGTCTGAAACAAAGATAGACACTCAAAAGAGTTCCTGTGTCTATGTGAAAGCTGTAGTACACCACAGTAGTACATTTTTCACTTGATTAATACAGTTAATTATGTACCAGCGGCAACTTTCATGTCTTTTTTAATGTAGGCTCTTCTTGATATAGTCAGATCACATCCTAGAGCTCAAACCTCATGAGAGTAGACTGTTCGGGGGTGGTCTCTATTGAGGGATGATTTTCAGGGATTATTTTGTCACTATCATGAATTAAATATTTTGTTTTAGCTGGATTGCGGGTGCTCATTATGCACTGCACATTTGAGATAAAAATTACTGCTGGCTATATGAAAGTTTAATTTGGTTCATCTAGCTAATTGCTGTGTGATTTATTATATAATTACACAGTATTTGTTCCCTGGCTGTTATAGTCAAATAGCTCTTGTTGTAATTCTTTAACCGTGGTGATGCAGTGTTTTTTTAACAGTTATTGATGTAGTTGTGTGTTGTAAGTTACGTGGCTTGTGTGTTGGAGGGTTGTACTTTCCCTCTCCAGCCTCATATTTCCTGATATTTATTTCCTCTGAGATTACACAATGCAGCGAGATGCTCCAGTTTCTATCTGTAGCCTTGACTTCAGCAAATAGCGAAATGCTTGACAAACACACGCTCAGTCTTAAAAACAAGATGGATCTAGATCAGATGGATAAATTTTTAACTACATCTCTCATTAGTAAAACATGAAATGTAAGACCCTTGTAGACACATGAGGTTTCTGCTGATAGTCAAACTGCAGTGAGAGCAGCACATTATCATAATCTGAAACACTGGGTCTGAAAAGTAATGATTCATATTTTCAGTTGATGAACTGGCCTGAAATATCATCCGGAAGTGTAAGTATAGTTTCACTGATGAAACTTAATAATAAGCAATTTGATGAATGTCTTCACTGTATAGGCAATCCAACTTAATAATTCAGAATGGCAATTAAAATGGCATCAAGTGATGTGTTCGGGTCCTCACATAGGTCAAACCATATAGTCATTGTTCAGGCACAATGAGAGATCTGGATTTCTGTGAAGACGTACTTCGACGAGCAGACAGACAAACCACAAGTCAAAGTGCTCAGCTGCCACTGAATTTCACTTCAATTTTGACAATGGCAACTTATTTTGTTTCTGGTCGGGCTGTGAATTGGCTAGCAACAATGTAGCAACACAACACATGAGAAACAAGTAGGACACGGCTCTATTTAACAGCTAACAACAATACCGCAAATCAAAGCAACTTTGGAGATCCCCTGCCTTTTAATATAGCGCCACAAGGAGCTCAAATTTCAGTTGAAACAGGGTTCTGATCTTCCCGCAGTATGCTGCTGAATCAGATGTTTCTGAGCTCGAAACAAACTTCCAAGCGGAAAAAGGGACTGGAGCATGCTGATTCAGCCTTTAGTGTAAAGCAAGCAGACCGACGTTTCAACACTACTGTGTCTTCATCAGTCAATTTCAGTTTGTCGAATGCTTTGGTTTATGAATATTACCTGCAAAGACATTCCCATCAGCCTCATCTGTACTTAGTTTTCAGTGCTAATTAGCAAATGTCTGTTTATTTAAAATCTTTATTTTCAAATCTTTTTGCCTTGATGTGCAATGTGTGCAATGTCTGTGACACAATAATTTCCCCTCGGGGATCAAAAAAGTATTTCCAATTTCTGATTACGGTAAACATCAGCATGTTGGCATTAAGGGAGAACAAATCAAACAGGAAGCATGATGAATATCGTTTGTGTAAGGACAAGGTTAAGATCTTAGCATTTCTATGGGATGAATATCCTGCCATGATTCCAAACTGAAAACAAAGTTCTGAAAGGTTGAAACTGTGAAAGTGCTTGACAACTCGAAATCTAACAAAAAGGTATTGCAAATTATTAAAATCCCTGCAAACATTTTTTTGTATTTGAGTTGTCCTTCTTCAGAACGGCAACACTCTTTTTTACAATGTTGTGCAAACAAGTGTTCAAATTTGTCACTTTTCTCCCAGTGTATTTTTAGGGTTTGAAACCTTGCAAATGGTGATCTGAAAACTGGTGTGCACATGTTGGCAAAACTTTTTTTGTTTGATTTGATAATATGGTAATGTCACATTCTGGATGCAAACTGCCTCTAAAAACCACAGAAGAAGAAGAAGAAGAAAAGAAGAAGAAGCATGTTGGCATTGTCATTGTGAGCATGATAGCATACTGATGTTATCACTTAGCTCAAAGCACCACTGTAAGTCAGGGACAGACTGGGAGTAAAAAATGGCCCTGGACTTTGATCCAGACCAGCCCACCAGAACGAGCCCTGCCGAGGAGATACAGTGCCAGCATATAACATGTGAACACATCAAATGCCAACACCAAATCTGAAGCCATCATTTTGTCTTCCCCCTAGTTCCTGTATGTTATTAACCTAGAACAACAAATTTATCTGATGTTTATACAGGGCTGTGTCATATTGGAATCTATAACTATCCATGAGTTGTACTGTGGAGCCAGTAAGTTCTTGTAAACATTCTTGTAAGACTCAACCTTGTAAGATTTCCAGAGAACAACGATATCTGCTAGCCTGACGCCTGAGCTACTGTCTCTACCTTTTCAGTCTAACTGTTGTCTCCCTAACAAGGACAGTTACATGACAGAAATAACCAGTCCCCAACAAATGCTTTGTCCGGAGAGTGGGCTGATCAAGAAACAAATTCCTGGGAAATTCAATGTTTTTGACTGTTATGATAATCAAACAAAAGACTGTAAGCTATTGTATTAATGTGTCATTGATACCTGTGCAACTGTTAGAAACCTCATTTGCGACTGATATAACGTTAGGAATAACAACAGCACTACAAGAAGTCATTTTGAGGCACTTTGCAGCACCTGCCTCGTGCGACTTATTTTTTTTTGGCCCTCAACTTTTCAGCACCACATTTGCGTTTTGTGGCTAGAGGTTAGGTCTGCGTTTCACCCGTTTCATTATGTTCTGATGTGGATTGTGTAATTGATTGACATAGCCAATCCTATTAAAACTGCCCTTCTCTTACCCCTCTGAGACAGTCGATCAAGGCACATACCAATCAATTTCGCAATTTCTAGTCTGTAAGTAGGTCTTTGCTCATTTCCGAGATGCAGCTCATTCAAACAAAAAATAAAAGCAGGAAGGGTCTGAAGATGTTGTGCAGTCAGGGTTCAAACTTCACCAACAGACACCAAAGATGCACCGTGGCATCAGAACCTATCTGCGTCCCTTCAT